TGCTATATCAAAGGTTGAAGAAAACGAAGCAAATGATCTTCAAATCTTGGTTGCAAAATTGAGGAAGAGCGTTGAGGAACTTAAGGTAAAGCATACTAATGAAATTAGAGCGGAGGATGTAGTTCAATTCTTCAAGGAGTATGGCGAGCTCATTGAAAAGGATGATATGGACAACTATACTTGCTCCAGTCTTTGTAGGTTTCCTTTCTGCTCAGCCAATTTTGGATGGAGAAAGCCATCATGCACACGTTTCCCTCTCACTGAAGTTTTCAAAAATATGTTCTTATTGAGCGATGCAACCGATGGCAATGGCATCGAAGCATACTTGTCAATGAAAGAAGAAGATATGGTCATGTTTGAAACCAACCAGGACCTGCTTACATATGCTTCTCTGCAATAGACGGCCATAGAGGTAACGCAACGACGCCTTATCCTTCTCTAGGTTTATTTAAAAAATAAAAATAAATAAACATCTTCCGAATGTTAGGAAGAAAATTGCAACTAGACAAAGAGCTAGTTTTGTATTTGTTGAGTATTTAGAATTCGTTTAGATGAGATGTTGTAACCTTTTGTTGGTTTCTTTCGTTGCTTTTGATTCCATAATTTCGACCCCTATGTGAACAGTGAACAATAATTTATGTGTAATTATCGAATTTTAATATATATATATATATATATATTATTATTTAATTAAAACATGAACACATCTGCAAAAGATGACTCAAAATCTGGTCCAAAGACTGGTAGGACGAATGAGGATCCTCTTCGGCTTCTCTTTGTAAGGATCTCGGGGATATTCTACTTGTATCCGTTCATCGTATGTCGTGTCCGTTCTCAAGGATCCACAGAATCCTCACAAAGAGAATCCTCATTCCGATAGGACGACCCTAGAAAACTATGGAACGACACAGCCTAGCACAGAGCTAGGCAAGAAATGCTCTCCAAAGAAGCATATAGGGAGAGGTGGGGCCCACACCTATATTAGACCTCCGTCAACTTACAAACGCACTTGCAAATTATAATTCAACTGATTAAGAGCATTCATCTCTGACCTGAGGTTCATGTTCGAATCTCCTCCCCATTGTTTAAATTAGATTATCCTATCATTTATTTAAATGAAAAAAGTGAAAAATATGTATGTATGTACATATGTATGTATATAATACTTACCATCGAGGTCGAGGTTTTCTTTAAAAAAAATCTATGTATATAATAAATGTATGGTATGTTGGAGTTTATACTATGTTTTCAGCATAGAATCCTAACAAGCAAATGTTAAATTATTTGAAACCACCATTTTGTATTTTTTGTAACCTCTATAATGAAAAGCGTAATGTGAAACAATGCTGGTGAGATTACATTTTAATATCGTGTGATGTGGCAAGAACAATCACAGTCAAAGCTTGCACTCCAAATCCATGCTATGACAATAAAGAGTAGTGCTCTCCGACTCCTCTTTCACTTGTTGGCGGTAAAATCATTAAGTACCCTTGTATCTGTCCATGCAAAGTATCATTCACTGGTAGGACAGGCGACTGGGGACGGATGGATCAGGTCATCAGGATCCGCTCTGGATCTCCGGTAGCTTTTTGGAGCAGGTCCACCATCTTTAGGGTAAAATATGGTTGACGGTTTTACTTTTACATCAGCAAATAACTACTGTCTATAGTCTCTGCATTATTTTTTGTTAATTTACTGAATATTTGCCAGGTATAATTATGATATGATCACTTTATTCCTTTAGGGTAAAATATCGAATTTTAATATATATTTTTTTATTTAATTAAAACATGAACACATCTGCAAAAGATGACTCAAAATCTGGTTCAAAGACTGGTAGGAAGAACGAGGATCCTCTTCGGATTCTCTTTGTGAGGATCCCGGAGATCTTCTAATCGTCCGTTCATCGTATATCGTGCCCATTCTCAAGGATCCACAAAATCCTCACGAAGAGGATCCTCATTCTGGTAGGACGACCCTAGAAAACTATGGAATGACACAGCATAGCACAGAGCTAGGCAAGAAATGCTCTCCAAAGAAGCATACGGGGGAGAGGTGGGGCCCACACCTATGTTAGACCTCCGTCAACTTACAAACGCACTTGCAAATTGTAATTCAGCTGGTTAAGAGCATTCATCTCTGCACCCGAGGTTCATGTTCGAATCTCCTTCCCATTGTTTAAATTAGATTATCCTATCGTTTATTTAAATGAAAAAAGTGAAAAGTATGTATGTATATAATACTTACCATCGAGGTTGAGGTTGTCTTAAAAAAAATGTATGCATATAATAAATGTATGATATGTTGGAGTTTATACTATGTCTTCAGCATAGAGTCCTAACAAGCAAATGTTAAATTATTTGAAACCACCATTTTGTATTTTTTATAACCTCTATAATGAAAAGCGTAATGTGAAATAATGTTAGTGAGATTACATTTTAATATCGTGTGATGTGGCAAGAACAATCACAGTCAAAGCTTGCACTCCTAATCCATGCTATGACAATAAAGAGTAGTGCTCCAATGGATGCAAGACCATTAAAATAAGTGATTATGAAATGAAGTTCTTCAACGGAAATATGCACCGTACTGTTGATGTGTTCTTCCATGGCCACAAATTTCTCGCTTGCATAAGTAAAACTTACGAGGGGATTGAAAAATTAACTTTGCCGTTGGTTTCCAGGAAACTAGGCTCTCCGACTCCCATGTCAACTGATACAACGAAAGTTATAGATGAAAAAAGTCATAAACGGTCATCATTGGATAGAATTTTAGAACATCTTCAATTGAATAGTATGATATATAAAGTTGAAAACTACAATTACATAGGCTCTCCGGCTCCTCTTTCACTTGTTGGCAGTAAAATCATTAAGCACCCTTGTATCTATCCATGCAAAGTATCATTCACTGGTATGACAGGCGACTGGGGACGGATGAATCAGGTCCTCAGGATCCGCTATGGATCTCCGGTAGCTTTTTGGAGCAGGTCCACCATCTTTAGGGTAAAATATGGTTGACGGTTTTACTTTTACATCAGAAAATAACTACTGTCTATAGTCTCTGCATTATTTTTTGTTAATTTACTGAATATTTGCCAGGTATAATTATGATATGATCACATTATTCCTTTAAAATGGGCAAAGTGCAAGCTGTGTAACACACACGAAGAGCTGGCTTTGGTTCTGAATACACCATGGCATTCTCCTCACTAATTCAATTTCCGTAAGGTAAAACTTTTTACAAGCAATAATAATTAGGTGGAAGAGTACAGTGAACTTTCTATACAACTACATAAGGCTATAATTGGAGAGCCAACGTCTTCTCGCATGCTAGTAGAGTTCACCAGGTTAATTTTAATTTGTAGTAAAAGATATAACAGTTATATACAATGAATTATTTCATAAATATACGTATATATAAAGAGAAATCACGTGTGTGTTTGTGTGTGTTTTTAGGATGGAGTTCTTAAAAATAAGAGTACCTACGATATTATTTCGGCAGAAGATATTGGCTTTGTCCATTCTAATGAAACCGGCATCGTTCAATACTTGCGTCCATCAGATTTTAACGAGAACATGATCTGGTACACCAAGTTGAATAAAACAATTGATTGGAAACTTAAAAAATATTTTTTTTCTCTCCTTTTTGTTACAGTGATCGTCATGCTTTGAAGTCTCGCCTCTTGCATGTTTTTATTTTTATTTTTGTTGTCTAAAATTATTGGTAAATCTTTTTCTCATTAGTAATACTAATTAATTGGTTTTTTGGTATTATTATTCAGCCTGGTCATGATGGACGAAAACAAATTTGGCGAGGTGCTTAGACATTTCAAGGCATTGGCTGAGACAAAGAAGGTAACAACCAATTAGTTAGACCTTAATTCCATCATCAACTCCTAATGGTTGATTGGTTTTGCACATTACAGTGTCTTACGAACGAGGACATAGAATCATTGGTTTGTCTGGAGGCCATCTAAATGCCTAGCTGCTAGAGAGAAAAATCCTTTGTTCCCTACCTTATCTTCGACAATCCTTCATCGACTGGTTGTGGTTCTTTCACTTTCTCGAAGAGATCCTATTTGGTATAGTGATCGCTATCTTGCTCTGTGGACCACGAGAGCAACATTTGTTGGCATCTGTCAATGTTTGTTAGGTGGCTTATAGCAAGACTTTTTTATTGAGGATGGTAAGATCACCAGAAGGTCATTGGTGCTTTCCTTGTGGTAACTTTACGATAGTTCTTTGGTTTGCAGGGTTTAGTCTTCATGAGTGTTATTTTTATCTTTCGTATTAGTTCAATGTGAGTTCTCTGTGACTAATGAATTGTATATTGTTTATGATAAGTCTATAATTGTAGAATTGTAGTGTTTCTTTTAGCATGTGTGGCCTTTTCTTCCTAGTGCTAGAATTTCCCATGTGGTTTTTTTCATCACAAGTACCCTTTTCCAGGACAAACTGTTGGGGCCAAAATTCATGATCATCTACAACGTTTACTAAACTAATGCGTGTGAATCTAATCCCACAGAGCCATGAGATTATAATTTTCTTATATTGCAACTTAAAAGTTTTGAAATTATAACGATTTATGCATTTTTGTTTAATCAATTATTTTAATATTCATTAAATTGATGACTTGATGAGTATAAGACCTGTAATTGAGTTGACTTGTAAGCCACATTTGCAATACATTGACTCAATTGCTTATCAATTTAATGGAGGATTGATGTTCAAATAAACAAAATGCGTAAATTGATACAATCTCAAACGTCATGGTAGAACTTGAGAAAATTGAAACCTCATGGTCCATTTAAAAAAAAAAGGGTAGTGTTGTTCACACACCCCTTTTTACTTCTCACATACACCTATTAATTTTTACCCATTGATCTTTCATTTGATCCGTTGCCAAATTAAAAGGGTATGTGAAAAGTAAAAAATGGATGTCTGGCTAACGCCACCCTTTAAAAATCACCTCAAACCTGTAAAATGCAGAGAGAAATGGTACTTCTTTTTCTTGGCAACTGCTTTTTATTTCACAAATTCTGTAAGCACGGCATACTATATTACTGATTCATCAGAAACCCATTTTTTATACACATGCAAACCACCATGGATTCTCTCTCTCTCTCTCTCTCTCTCTCTCTCTCTCTCTCTCTCTCCCCACCCCAATTTTCTTTTTGGGTAAACAACCAGACTAATTTACATGAGCAATCTTACAGCAAGCACACATTGAAAGCATATGGACTTATTTTCATCTCTCAGACAGGTAGAACAACCTTCACCGAGAAAGATCTTGAGAGCTTCTATAAACAGTATAAGATCTTGAGAGCTTCTATAAACAGTATGATACTTCAGCAACAACACTACCTTAATATCTGCAAAAACTCTAAGAAATATACAAAATAGCCACTTTTCAAGGCCAACAGTGATAAGAGCTTCTGTGAACCTGCAAGAGTCACCTTTCTTTTTTAGTGTGAAAGTTAGAGGGGAAAAGGTTCGAGAATACGAGTAGATGCAGAAAACAGAATATGTTACTTTTTACTAATCGCTTTAGTTCCCCGTGCGTGAAAGGATGCCTCGAATTGTTAAAGATTTAGCATCTTTGTGAAACAACCAAACCAAAGCACTTTAATAGTATCTTATGGAAATTTTGCATCTTTAGCATGTGCTCTTTTTCTGGATGCGTATTGTTACTATTTTGTTTTTTGCTATCTTCTATAACCATTAACAAAAGGGTTATTTAGATATAGACCATTGCAACTTTTATTTCCTAGACAAAAACCCACCTAGTTATAAACATCTAAACAAAACCCAAATTTAAGTATAGAAGTAATTGACTTATTATTACAAAATATTTACAATTTGTACTACATGACATTCAAAATAAAATCAATAAATGTTATTACTCCCCTTAATTACAATAAAAAAATATAATTATTGCACATATTATCACCCCTAACACACACATATATATTCTTCAAATGTATATATTACTACCATAAGCTCAAATAACATATACCTATATTTAAATTTATGGTGAGCAAATAACATTTATTCTGTAGGTAAATTAATATTGAATCAAATAACATTCTTTTATTTTGTAGGTAATTTATTTTCCATGTATTATTACATATATTTGGCACATTTTATTATTATAAGATATATGTACAAATAATAGGTAAATTAATCTTGAATAAAATACAATTGCTTTATTTTGCAAGTACATTAATTTTGAATCAAATAACATTTTTTCATTGTGTAGGTATTTTATTTTGTATGTATCATCATATATATTGGGCACATTTTATTATTACATGTACAAATAATAGGTAAACTAGTATTGAATAAAATAATTGTGATAGCCCGTTCCGAAATAATTTACCGATAGCGTGGGAATGACGTTTTTGCCTTTACTCATTAGTGATTGCGTGTGTGTGTGATTGGGCTACGTTTTGGATCAATTGGGTTTCTTCCCACATATTTGGACCCAATGAGAGTTTGGCTTTGGCTTTGGTGATTGGTTAAAACATACACACACACATCCACACATGCACACGTGTACCCTTTTTTTCCTTTCCTGGTTATGTCTCTCTTATCCTTCTCGACACTTCTTCCATTTTCACCATATTTGTACGGACAACATCACACCTCACAATTTTGGCATGGATCGAGGTTCCAAATACCCTCTTCGTGTTCCTTGTGACCTAACCAACACGCTCATACCCTTGGTTTGGCTTGGAACCCTTGAAAACCCTATGAATCCGTGGACTCCGTCAATGGTACTATTCACATGCTCGTGATCGTGGAGGTTTTATCGAGTTTTAAGATCACCGGGAGTCTTAAAACTTTCTCACGAAGCTCGAAAAGCAAGTTTGAAGGATTTCGGACGTCGAGATAGCAAGTTCTAAAGTTCGGCAAGATTCTGGCATTTTTGGAGCTTCAAAGTGGTGAGGACTATCCTGAGGATGAGCGCAGCCATGCGAGGTTCGAGGGCTATGACCCTTCTACGTATCAGTGAGTGGGTTTTTGTTTTCAATATATATATTATGACTGGTATTTTTCCAGAAATTACGTTTTAATGGTTTTATAATTGAAATGCCATGTCGAATATCTTTGATATTATTATTGTGATTGTGTTGGTTATGCTTTGGTACCGCAGACGCTCAGGTAAGTCATGTGAGTATGTTTGTTAGTGATAGTTGTGATGATGATGAGATTGAGTTATAGCTCATATTTCTGCACCTCGGTGTTTGTGCTCCACCAGAGTAGGGCCTAGCCTTCACGTGATCGTTCACCTCCTGCACCGTACGCTCACCTTGGATCTAAGGCAGGTGTTAGCCTGTCGTACAGACCACTATAGGTGGTTCTGACTTGTAAGTGACTTGCGATAAATCGCACAGTCTTCACGTGATCGTAGCACTAAGCGTATTTATATACACCAGCCTGTCGTACAGACCACTATAGGTGGTTCCAACTCGTGTGCCGGATAGTGGTTGATGAGTTATATATTCAACCGTACAGGTCACTTTAGGTGACTCTGGCTGACGTATTGATATTACCGGCATATTATGATTTGTTTTATCTCACTTGCTTGATGCTTATACTGTTTGATTGGATATTTTAACATGGAATATTCTGGCATGGCATATTTGAGCTTTATCGTTTTTTTTGCATGATTTAATATACGAGTACGTATAGTATTTTCTGGAAAAGTATACGGGTTTTACAAAGAGGGGTTATTACTTGATATTGAAATGGTTTGAAAAACAAAAACTTTGTTTTTGCCCACTCACGTTTTCTGTTTTGCGCCCCTCCAGATTTTAGGTTGCGGTGACGTTGGTGGCGAACGAGGCATTGGGGCAGTTCTGACAGAGCACCCTCCATGTAGGATTTTCTGGTTATCGCTTATGTAGTACTTGTTTATTCTGGACTGCACCTAGGATACTTGAACTTCTACTTTGCGTTTTTTTTTCCTTCCGTTTTCATCACTATCATTCACTGATCTTTTTATTGTAAATTATCTTGTTTGGCTTTATTTCCTCGTATTTTCACTCTAGTACTTCCGCACTGCGCACTTGGCTACGTCACCTTCACGTGACGGCCAGCACGCCCCAATATTTGGATCGGGGGTGTCAATAATAACATTTTTTTTATGTAGGTATATTAATTTGCATATATTTGGGTTTGCTTTATTATGTAGGTAAATTATTTTGTATGAATTTTTATGTATATCATGCATGTTTTTTGTTGTTGTTATGTGTGTGTGAAATAATTTACCTACATTTATATGTAAAATATAATTTTATTAACTTAACTAAGCATGTATTACTACATTTATTAGGCATGTTTTATGGTTATTATATATTATGCAATGAATGTATTATTTTTTTATTTTGGTAAAATCATTAATTCTCCCTTATAATTTGTATGGAATTAATTGTGTAAATCAAACATTCAAATAGGGGTGTTTTGGGCATCGAAATTTTTTAAATGTGTAAATTCAAATATAATTAATGAATTTGCTGATGTGGAATCTAGTCAATGAGTTTTATTCCAGTAAAAAACTTATGTCGGGTTTTATGTGGAAAAAAATAAGTTTTAGAGACTAAAGTCATATTTTCAGTTAACAAAAACCAGCAAACTTTAGAAACAATAATTGAGAGAGTAGCTGCTTGAGATTTGCATACCAATTGAGGATTTGAAAAAAGAGTTGGATTTTCAGTATCCAAAATACATTTGAGGAGAATTTTGGAAACACAAGCAGGTTAAGGCTGAAAAAAGTGAGTGTGATACCAATATATATTTTTTATTGTAATTAAGGGGAGTAATAACATTTATTTATTTTATTTTGAATGTCATGTAGTACAAATTGTAAATATTTTGTAATAATAAGTCAATTACTTCTATACTTAAATTTGGGTTTTGTTTGGATGTTTATAACTAGGTGGGTTTTTGTCTAGGAAATAAAAGTTGCAATGGTCTATATCTAAAGAACCCTTTTGTTAATGGTTATAGAAGATAGCAAAAAACAAAATAGTAACAATACGCATCCAGAAAAAGAGCACATGCTAAAGATGCAAAATTTCCATAAGTTGGACTGGACTGGACTGGACTAGCTATTAGTCCAATACTGTGTTTGTTCCATGCTGGGACTAACATTAATGAGACTAAAGGGGACTAGCATGGACAAAACCCTTCATTAAGAGGTCTTAGCGAGACCCCCCAATAACCATGGGACTAGCTAAGACTATCTTCTCTTTCTCGTCTTTGTCATGCTCAACGACCACTCTCGATAGACTTCTCGTCATCTCCGGTCACCTAAATCAATTATTAACTTTCCGACTCTCTTTCAGATCCATTTCACAACCAACTTTCATACAAAATATACCAAATTGAAGCTGGGAGTGACAAGATTACGATTTTACCTGAATCGAGGCCAAAATGTGGTCGAATGTGGCTGGAAAATGGCCTGGAAGTCTCGGCCTGTTTGGGCTTCTTCAAATCCATGGCAGATTTGAGCATTCAAAGCTAAGATCTCGGTCTAGGGATGGTGATGAATTTTTCGGCGGTGCTAACTTCATCCAATTTAACGAGGAAATGGTAGGAAAAAATGAAGAAAAAGATAAGATCATAATAAAATATTAATAATTTATATATTAAATAATATAATATTATAATTTGTTATTAACCAGCTTCTTAGTCCAATATTGCACCAAACGCTTCACTAAGTTAGTCCAGTTTAGTCTAGTCTAAGCCAGTCCAGCTTAGTCCTTGAAGCTAATCCAGTCCGAGATAGTCCGGCGCAACAAACGCCCCCTTAGAGAATTAAATTATAGAGAAAAATCCTTCTCTAAAATAAATTTTATTGTTGATTTTATAAAGGGAGATACACAAATGTAATAAACATCAGAAGTACTTTTAGATGATGCAAAGCACTTGTTTTTGGTTTATTTTTTAAGAGAAGATAATATACTGTGGCAGCAGCCCATGTTTTTGGAATATTTTGTAGAGAAAAAAGAAGATGATATTCGATATATTAGGGCTAATAAGGGCTTGAAGAATGAAAAAGGGGGTGAGAATCGAATTTTTGTTGCATGATTAATATCAAGTGTGATGTTTTATTGTTTGCTGAGAAATGTGTAGTATCAGAATACCTCACGTGCATGCATCATGCATGGTACGTATAACTGATTCACGATTGTTAATATTATACTCTAACGTAGTCGTTCACTCATAACATATCACGTGAATTCATCAATTCACATAATAACCAAAGATGAAGCATTTAAGAAAGATGAGAGTACAAAACAAAAAGGCTACGAACATGGTTCGGTCCTCTTTTAGGCAAAGTCTCGAAAAGATGAGTAAACTTTTAATGCCTTGCCCTAACAGCACTAGAAATTAGACATTCAGAATGCTAAAAGAATATAGGCAATGGAAAATGACTAATTCCTAACTACCAGACCTTTACGTCCTCTACATAGATAACCACATATAATTTTTTATATATTTGCTTTCTCTGCTGCTACTTTCTCTAATCTTTTTGGGTGAATTATTTCAAACTGTCAAATCCTTCTTGTGCTTTTTGTTTTTTTGTTTTTTTTTTTTGATTTTTTTGGAGAAATTATAGTTGCATACTTGCATGGAATTTGTCTTTTGGTTGTTATGTATCTGCCCTAGATATTACTTCCGATTCATCCTGGTGTCCTCGGCGGCTCGTAAGGGACCATCCATGTTCTTTCGAGGTATAAAGATTTGCATTCATTGGTCCCTTTATCGTAGGTAACCATTTAAAGTATACATACACATACATACACACATACATGAACGCTCAAGCAATAATGGGTTAGTAAGTTAATATGACGTTAATAGCTTGTTGGATTAGCAAGTTAATATATATATACATACATGTATGAATGCTCAAGCAATAATGGGTGAGTAAGTTAATATAACGTTAATAGCTCGTCGGGCCCACTTCATAACAAAATTTTATAATCCGAACTGTTTATTTTAAAGTGCAAAAAGTTAGTCAAATCAAACAAATTGACGACTTGAGTAATCTTTTGCAGTAATTGTTTTCAAATAATGGTCTTTAAAATCTCATATCATGATATTTTGTTGGAAAGTAGACCCAAACGAGCAATTATAAGCCCCATATTAACTTACTGACTAGTATATATATGAAAATAATTTTTGTACACTCTTAATTCTATCATTTAATTTTCATTTATTTTATTCAATTCAAAAATTCAAAATTTACAAGAGTTCATATTTTTTAGCAAAATGATGTGAAAAAATCCAGTTAGTACGTAATCATCTTATAATATAGACATATATGGTGGATCATCTGGAAATGCATTGATGGTTTTAATTTGTATGTTGCGCATCTCAAAGCTTTGATAGTTTAAAAACCCTAGTAGTGTATGCGCAGGAAGTGTAGTAGTACCCCACGAGATCAACAACTCTAAAGACCTAACTTGTATAATAAGTTACACCGTCTCAGTAGCGTCTCAAGCAAATAATACAAAATCATATCATTACAAGTTTTTATATTACTAGCACATATCGTCACCATAATGATGTACTTATGTCATACAAGTTCTTCTTATAGTACTTAAAGAAGAGGAGACGACGGACTATGATTTAGCTCAAATAATTCATTCTTAATATAAAATATATTGTTATAGCAAAACAATACAAGTTTAGACGAGGAGAAGAGGGATCTAGGAGACGATTTTAGTTTTCAAACCTTGATTATTCGAGGGTGATGGTTTTGGAATAAAGTTGGTCCAGCAGTAGTGTATCTATACCGTTGAAGGTGCATACAACATAATTTCCATCTTTTAAATATTTTAAGCCTTCAGAGACAAAAGCGGTGGTGCAAGGATCACGTTCTTCCATTCACTGAATGTGCGTTTCATTATAAATAAAATTAAAAAAAAAAAAAAAAAAAAAAGGAAACACAAATAATAATCAAACTACATAAAATGAGCTGAAGTTTTATCATAAAATTAATTAATTATATAGGAGTAATTCAACTTCTTATAAGCCGTTATAAGATTGTTTCTTTCACCGATTTGAGATTCTTTTACTTTCACATTCTCACATGCTCTACACGTGTGTCGAATTTTCAAATCACACACGTAGACAACACGAATTGAGTGACGTAAAGCACATGTAGCCGTTTAGCTTCACATGTGAGCAACCTTTCTCTGACCTTATAAAGAAGGTTAAAATTCAGATCTAGAAATGATCGTTGCTTTTTTTAATCAAATTGGCAAAACGGCTCCAACCCTACTAGTTCAATGATAAAAACATTGCTTTACGTTGTTGTACTCTAATTGACAATGAATAATGATACTTAAGGCTTTGAATTTGACTATTTAGACCATCTTCAACCAAAGAGCGCCAGAAGGCCGAAAATAGTCCGAAAACCGTCTCTAACGGAAGGCTAGGCCAAATGACTCGTGGGTCTATGTGGACCCAAAATTACATCATCGGCCTGTGCAATGAAGGCCGTTGAGTAAGCATAGCTCCCAACCGTTGGATCGAAGAGTAAAGATAGTTTTGTTATTATTGAAGGATAATATTATGATTTTTATCATAATTATCTTTTAATGATAATTAAGATGGGATATGTATTTCCAAGCTGGAAACACGGTAGCACAATTCAAGTTGATTTTGGATGTTTGGCGTGTGAATGTGTGGGTGTGATCAGTTTGGTTGACTAACAGATTCAAGTGGTATGCTGCAAATTGATTATTATCCATTTAAAGTATGGTGATAATTAATAAGCAAATGAATTTGGAGTTCACTGAGACGGTTGAAGGTTATTATGCATGCATGGATAAAATTATAAAGTGATGGTGCAATAAAGAGCACCTCCGAATATCCTTTGTAGGATGCCAAGAATCTAGTCGGACAAATTGCATTAGATTGGAACTCGTGGACTTTGAAAGGATGGGAAAGATGGGATCAAGTTTGAACTTTTTGTTAGTGCATGATTGCACCTGGTCAAATTTGGTGGAAAGATGAATGGATTGCCGTGATGCTTCAGTTTGAAATGCATGGCTCAGAGATAAACTTGCATGTTAATTATTTGCATGCCTTAGTTCCAGCATGTGGAGATCATCAAATACTTGGATAATGATGGACAAAATAAGGAGAAAAGGAGATAATGATGGAGATTTTAAATTGGTTGGATAATTGCATGATAACTCCATGCATTTGGTTGAGTCTGATCCACGCCAAAAATCTCGTGCAATATTCAAGGACTAAGTCGGCGCGTCCCTATAAATACAGAGGCAGTGGTAACGAGAAGACTCCCTCCAATTCAACACACAAAACTGCCCTGCTCAAACTCTCGCTTTACGCGAAACCTCTCAACAACCTTGAGATTTTTTCCGCCAACACATCTTCAGTTTGGATAAACAACACTGTGGAGGCAACATGTGACATCTTAAGTTTGGATAAACAGCACTGTTGCCGTAGAATTAGCCGTCCACGGAGCACTTTCAGTTGGGATAAACAGCACAGCATCGAGGCCGATTGATTATCTATCCAAGTCTCGGTCGAGAGGGATTTTCGAATCCTTATTGGCAAATGTCATCTCATTAGCCTTCTCGGTGAAGTGAGGTGGTACAGGTTACCACATTTGGCACATTGAAAGCCGAATTTAATATTGAACTTCGTAGAACTAGCAGCCTTGTCTTCAAGCTCTAGAACCCGAAGGCCAAGATGTGTTCCTTCCTTGACCGCAGTCGCAAGATCAAGAAGTCAGCATCGAGCTTAACGCGACGTCAACACATTTTAATCCTCGACCGAACTCGGCGGACGAGTTGGCACGCCCCGCACACAATCGAAAGATGTAGTTAGCTTATTAATTACTCGGCCTGCGCACCACGTAGGCTTGATAGTTTTTAGGGTCAATAGGGCCATATTGGACAAAAAAAGGCCAAAGGGCCAACCGGCTGGCCCAAATCAGCCATCGGGCTGGCCAGAATTTTCATTATTCTTGTCAATTATATCCAACAGGAATGGTAGGCTTTTTTTTAATTTTTTTATTTACAAAATTTTTAATTTTTTTAATTTTTTTTTTAAATTCTATTTTTTTTCCTATAATTTCCTAAGCCATTATACAACATTAAATTTAAATAATAAATTATGTTTGGCTCTCGGTTGAAAACAAGTTTTTGTGGTAGAACTAAAACGAGTCATATGACCATTTAGCTATAGGTTAGAGATGAACCCTACTGCTTCAAGATTCCTTTTACTTTTCTTGTGTGACTACGTGGTCCAAGAACTCCAAGGGACGTACGTGAGAGTCATGATTTTATTTCTCTGCCTGCCGACAGTTCGAATAATTTGATGTGATGATTGTTTTCAGTGTGATCGGTACACAGGATGGTACATCACGTGTCCCTAAACAAATGATGAGATATGTGTGTTAAAAATTTAATAACTTAAAAAATAAAATTTCCCTCTATTCCTATTAAAACACGTAGTGTACCACTTGTGTTTCTATCATAACTAAAAATTCTTCTTTTAACTGATCATGGTTGTATACTTTTTGCCTTATCTATAGAAACAGTTAATTGAATTATAGACGAATTAGCTCCCACATATCTAATATTTATTTAAATGAATCAAGTGTCACTTTCCATTCAGATAAAAAATAAAAAATAAAGTAGTTTCCCTTGGAATTTCACATTTATATAGCATATTAATAATAATAATAATTACAGTAGGCAATATAAAAGCCCAACCCCTGCGTGTTATTATATATAGGAGGCCAGCTGGTCTTTGTTATGATCAAACTCGATCAAAGTCTGGAGATTGGAGCAAATTAGAAGATGGGGGGTTCAGAGATGATCAATGTTGAAGTAATTCACAAGGAAATAATTAAACCATCCTCTCCAACTCCTCACCACCTTAGATATTTGTCCCTCTCCGTTTTTGACCAGTTTAAATATGAAATTTATTTGCCACATGTTGTCTTCTATCCCAGCAGCAGTGAGGAGCATTCTCTGGTTGCTGAAAAATCCGAGCTTCTAAAGAAATCATTATCTGAGGCCCTCACTCAATTCTACCCGTTTGCAGGGGAATTCAAATATAATGATTCCATCAATTGCGATGATCGTGGAGCTGTATTTCTTGAAGCCCAAGTCAACTGTCCCATGTCCAAGATCTTGGACGACAAACACGGTTTAGAGAACATGGGAAAATTGATTCCAACTCCTGTTCGTTCCAAACACGCACAAGGGGGGCATCTTCTACTAGTCCAGGCCAACGTATTTGAATGTGGTGGATTGGCAATTGCTGCCAGCTTTTTTCATAAGGTCGTCGATGCCTTATCCATCAGCAAATTCATGGAAAGCTGGGCTGAAATTGCCCGCTGCTCTGCCAGCACTACTGATCACCATGTAGTACTTCCTACAGAATTCTGTGTTGCAGCTACTTTGTTCCCACCTCAAGAATATTTTAACTCACCGAAGAAACTCATGCTACCTTTGACTGAAAATTATATGGTAAGGAGGAGGAGATTTGTGTTTGATGCCTCAAAGATTGCTGCTCTCAAGGTCAAAGCTGCCAGTGCCACAGTGCCAAGTCCTACGCGAGTTGAAGCAGCATCCGCGCTCATTTGGAAATGCGCAATGGAAGCATCAAGATCGAACTTGGGTTTTGTAAGGTCATCCACGTGGCGTCATGCTGTGAACATGAGGAAAATATTGGCTCAGCCCTTCGCAGAAAACTTACTGGGAAATTTTTCGTTCTATGCTATATCAAAGGTTGAAGAAAACGAAGCAAATGATCTTCAAATCTTGGTTGCAAAATTGAGGAAGAGCGTTGAGGAACTTAAGGTAAAGCATACTAATGAAATTAGAGCGGAGGATGTAGTTCAATTCTTCAAAGAGTATGGCGAGCTCATTGAAAAGGATGATATGGACAACTATACTTGCTCCAGTCTTTGTAGGTTTCCTTTCTGCTCAGCCAATTTTGGATGGGGAAAGCCATCATGCACACGTTTCCCTCGCACTGAAGTTTTCAAAAATATGTTCTTATTGAGCGATGCAACCGATGGCAATGGCATCGAAGCATACTTGTCAATGAAAGAAGAAGATATGGTCATGTTTGAAACCAACCAGGACCTGCTTACATATGCTTCTCTGCAATAGACGGCCATAGAGGTAACGCAACGACGCCTTATCCTTCTCTAGGTTTATTTAAAAAATAAAAATAAATAAACATCTTCCGAATGTTAGGAAGAAAATTGCAACTAGACTAAGAGCTAGTTTTGTATTTGTTGAGTATTTAGAATTCGTTTAGATGAGATGTTGTAACCTTTTGTTGGTTTCTTTCGTTGCTTTTGATTCCATAATTTCGACCCCTATGTGAACAGTGAACAATAATTTATGTGTAATTATTGAATTTTAATATATATATTTTTATTTAATTAAAACATGAACACATCTGCAGAAGATGACTCAAAATCTGGTCCAAAGACTGGTAGGACGAATGAGGATCCTCTTCGGCTTCTCTTTGTAAGGATCTCGGGGATCTTCTACTTGTATCCGTTCATCGTATATCGTGTCCGTTCTCAAGGATCCACATAATCCTTACAAAGAGGATCCTCATTCCGATAGGACGACCCTAGAAAACTATGGAACGACACAGCCTAGCACAGAGCTGTAGGAGTTTGAGACCCTTTTGTCCCACATTGGTTAAACAATATTTTTTCACTAGCCTTTATATAGGCTTATTCCTTTTTCTTAGTAATTAGAACTTGGACCATTTGGAAATGGATTGAAGACTTGTGCCTTATGGTTGTGTGGATCAGGCTTGATGATTGTACTATAATATTAATATTAATTAATCAAGACAAGGGCTGGGCCCTTAGGGCACTTGGGGCCAAGGAATTAAAATTAATCTGATCAATTAGTTTTAATTTCGAATAAAGTTTTTAATTAAATTAATTAAAAACGTTTTGATTAATAGACACAATTTTTTGGAAAGAGGTGTATCTCTTTGGAAAGAGTTGTATAGCTTCAGATACATCCAAAAGGTGTTTGAAAAGGTATGAAAAAGCCTATATAACTGGAGTCCTTAGTTCCATCAGACATCATCTTTTTTCTTCCCCCTTGTCTTCCGTACAAAATTTCCAGAGAGTAAACACACAAAGCAATTCGCTAGAGTTCTATAATCCAGTGCGGGTTGTAGAATTAGGTAGTTGTATCCTGGTCAAGCAGACGTTGTAGAACCACAAGCACACGAGTGAGACGGAAATACTGTTCGAAGGACATAGCGTTTGCGCTAGCTTCTACCTTCAATTCATTCAAGTTAGTACCATTTTAATTTTTTGTAATTATTGTGTTATTGCATTCTGTATTGCAAGTATTTTTGAATAATAAAGTATAAGTATTTCGGTTCTGTATTTTTGTTATTTTATTGTTTCTAAATTGTTCTCCAACAAGAGCTAGGCAAGAAATGCTCTCCAAAGAAGCATACGGGGGAGAGGTGGGGCCCACACCTATGTTAGACCTCCGTCAACTTACAAACGCACTTGCAAATTGTAACTTAGTTGGTTAAGAGCATTCATCTCTGCACCCGAGGTTCATGTTCGAATCTCCTCCCCATTGTTTAAATTAGATTATCCTATCATTTATTTAAATGAAAAAAGTGAAAAGTATGTATGTATGTATATAATACTTACCATCGAGGTCGAGGTTTTCTTTAAAAAAAATGTATGTATATAATAAATGTATGGTATGTTGGAGTTTATACTATGTTTTCAGCATAGAATCCTAACAAGCAAATGTTAAATTATTTGAAACCACCATTTTGTATTTTTTGTAACCTCTATAATGAAAAGCGTAATGTGAAACAATGCTGGTGAGATTACATTTTAATATCGTGTGATGTGGCAAGAACAATCACAGTCAAAGCTTGCACCCCAAATCCATGCTATGACAATAAAGAGTAGTGCTCTCCGAGTCCTCTTCACTTGTTGGCGGTAAAATCATTAAGTACCCTTGTATCTGTCCATGCAAAGTATCATTCACTGGTAGGACAGGCGACTGGGGAGGGATGGATCAGGTCCTCAGGATCCGCTCTGGATCTCCGGTAGCTTTTTGGATCAGGTCCACCATCTTTAGGGTAAAATATGGTTGACGGTTTTACTTTTACATCAGAAAATAACTACTGTCTATAGTCTCTGCATTATTTTTTGTTAATTTACTGAATATTTGCCAGGTATAATTATGATATGATCACTTTATTCCTTTAGGGTAAAATATCGAATTTTAATATATATTTTTTATTTAACTAAAACATGAACACATCTGCAAAAGATGACTCAAAATCTGGTCCAAAGATTGGTAGGACGAATGAGGATCTTCTTCGGATTCTCTTTGTGAGGATCCCGGGGATATTCTAATCGTGTCCATTCATCGTATATCGTGCCCGTTCTCAAGGATCCATAGAGTCCTCACGAAGAGGATCCTCATTCTGGTAGGACGACCCTCGAAAACTATGGAATGACACAGCATAGCACAGAGCTAGGCAAGAAATGCTCTCCAAAGAAGCATACGGGGGAGAGGTGGGGCCCACACCTATGTTAGACCTCCGTCAACTTACAAACGCACTTGCAAATTGTAATTCAGCTGGTTAAGAGCGTTCATATCTGCACACGAGGTTCATGTTCGAATCTCCTTCCCATTGTTTAAATTAGATTATCCTATCGTTTATTTAAATGAAAAAAGTGAAAAGTATGTATGTATATAATACTTACCATCGAGGTTGAGGTTGTCTTAAAAAAAATGTATGCATATAATAAATGTATGATATGTTGGAGTTTATACTATGTCTTCAGCATAGAGTCCTAACAAGCAAATGTTAAATTATTTGAAACCACCATTTTGTATTTTTTATAACCTCTATAATGAAAAGCGTAATGTGAAATAATGTTAGTGAGATTACATTTTAATATCGTGTGATGTGGCAAGAACAATCACAGTCAAAGCTTGCACTCCTAATCCATGCTATGACAATAAAGAGTAGTGCTCCAATGGATGCAAGACCATTAAAATAAGTGATTATGAAATGAAGTTCTTCAACGGAAATATGCACCGTACTGTTGATGTGTTCTTCCATGGCCACAAATTTCTCGCTTGCATAAGTAAAACTTACGAGGGGATTGAAAAATTAACTTTGCCGTTGGTTTCCAGGAAACTAGGCTCTCCGACTCCCATGTCAACTGATACAACGAAAGTTATAGATGAAAAAAGTCATAAACGGTCATCATTGGATAGAATTTTAGAACATCTTCAATTGAATAGTATGATATATAAAGTTGAAAACTACAATTACATAGGCTCTCCGGCTCCTCTTTCACTTGTTGGCAGTAAAATCATTAAGCACCCTTGTATCTATCCATGCAAAGTATCATTCACTGGTAGGACAGGCGACTGGGGAGGGATGAATCAGGTCCTCAGGATCCGCTATGGATCTCCGGTAGCTTTTTGGAGCAGGTCCACCATCTTTAGGGTAAAATATGGTTGACGGTTTTACTTTTACATCAGAAAATAACTACTGTCTATAGTCTCTGCATTATTTTTTGTTAATTTACTGAATATTTGCCAGGTATAATTATGATATGATCACATTATTCCTTTAAAATGGGCAAAGTTCAAGCTGTGTAACACACACAGAGAGCTGGCTTTGGTTCTGAATACACCATGGCATTCTCCTCACTAATTCAATTTCCGTAAGGTAAAACTTTTTACAAGCAATAATAATTAGGTGGAAGAGTACAGTGAACTTTCTATACAACTACATAAGGCTATAGTTGGAGAGCCAACGTCTTCTCGCATGCTAGTAGAGTTCACCAGGTTAATTTTAATTTGTAGTAAAAGATATAACAGTTATATACAATGAATTATTTCATAAATATACGTATATATAAAGAGAAATCTCGTGTGTGTTTGTGTGTGTTTTTAGGATGGAGTTCTTAAAAATAAGAGTACCTACGAGATTATTTCGGCAGAAGATATTGGCTTTGTCCATTCTAATGAAACTGCCATCGTTCAATATCTTAACCTTCATGAAAGGATTGTAGAATTGAAGAGCACGAAGAAACTTAGAGAAGAAGAAAGATATATTTCTGATATCTCAAAAACTGTTATTACAACTGAAAAACTTATCTAATACAAGTAACTATTACTCTATATATACAGTTCACCAACCAATGGTCTATGTCTTAAGCTGTTGCTTATGTGGCAATCTTTAATTGACCTAGCATACATTCAATACACCTGGCATATATATCCAATACCCCCCCTCAATCTTAGCTGGGATAAGCAAGCTTAAGATTGAAACAGTGGTGAAGGAAATCAGGACCATGAAGACCTTTCGTGAGAACATCAGCCACCTGATCTTTTGTTGAAACATACTGAATCACCAAGTCACCCTTCTGTACCCTCTCACGAACAAAATGAAAGTCAGTTTCCAAATGTTTGATCCGAGAATGCTGAACTGGATTCAAGCTAAGTGCTATGGCCGACTGATTATCACAATGAATTAAGGGAGGTGAGGACAGGAACTGGTGGACATCTCGAAGAATAAGCCTGATCCATGCTATATCAGCAGCTGTATGTGCAAGAGCCCTATACTCTGCCTCTGTAGAACTCCTTGACACAGAAGCTTGCTTCTTTGATTGCCAAGATATTGGATTTTCCCCCAAATAAACAACATAACCTGTGATAGACCGTCGAGTGTTGAGATCGGCAGCCCAGTCTAAATCACTGAATGCAGACAATGCCATGGAAGTCCCTGATGTATATGTAAGACCACAACGGAGAGTCCCTTGCAGAAATCGTAAAATACGTTTAACCATACCAAAATGAACATCTGTTGGTGAGTTCATGTATTGACAGACAGTATTAACAGCAAAAGCAATATCTGGCCTAGTGAAGGTTAGATATTGCAATGCTCCAACCAAACTCCTATAGTGTGTGGCATCAGAGATTGGGTCATCCATCCAATGACATTTTAGCTACTATGCTTAAGCAGTCTAATGTTTCTTGTACTACTGATGATAATGCTAGTATCTGTTCACATTGTATAAGTGGGAAAATGAGCAGATTACCTTTCTTAGACAGGATAGATAAAGTTGATATCCCATTTTACAAAATTCATAGTGATGTTTGGGGACCATCTCCTACTATTTCTCTGGAAGGCTATCGATACTATGTGTCCTTTATAGATGAAGCCACTAGGTTTGTATGGATATTCCCGTTAATGAATAAAGCTGAAGTTTTTGGTACGTTTCTCAAATTTTGTGCGTATGTTGACAATCAGTTTCATGCTAGAATTAAGATCTTACAAACTGATGGTGGTGGTGAGTTTATGAGCACTGTCTTTAAGACTTATCTGGATAATAATGGAATATTGCATCATATATCTTGTCCCTACACACCTCAGCAGAATGGATTGGCGAAAGGAAACACAGGCATCTCATTGAAACAGCAATTACTCTTTTATCTGTTGCTAAGCTTCCACACACGTTTTGGTTTTATGAGGTTGCACATGCTGTCTTTCTCATCAATCGAATGCCATGTAAGATACTCAAGATGGACTCTCCGTTTAGTAAGTTGTTTGGTCAGCAACCTGAGTTGGGATCATTGAGAGTATTCGGATCTGCCATTTATCCTTACTTGAGGCCCTATAATATTCATAAGTTACAACCTAGGTCCACACAATGTGTATTTCTAGGTTATTCTTCTGGATATAAGGGTGCTCTTTGCTATAATATAGTGACTGGCAAGGTGATTATTTCAAGGCATGTATTATATGATGAAAATTGTTTTCCTTATAAGGATTTAGAGCCTATCCAGAGTTCTATTCAATCTCAATCTCCTGCCCTACAGAGTTCAAGGCCTATAATTGTTACACTGCCTTCTCCAGCATCTATACCTCACACTGAGTCTTCCCATCAGTTCAATCACTCATCTACATCAACTTCAGCTACTGATAGTTCTCACAGGTTATCATCATCATCTCAGGACTTTGCCTCCAGTGCTACAAATAGTTCAAATGCTACTCTTTCCAATTCTACCCCAATGTTGCCTGTCCTCCAATCCAGTCAGCTTCAGGTTGTTTTACCAAGTCTTGCTTCTCCAATTGCTATTTCTTCACAATCTGATTCTCTACCACAGGGCATTCAAACTAGATTGAAAACTGGTACTATTTCAAGACAGGATTATTCCGCTCTCACTGCCAATTTTCCTGAAGTGCAGTCCTTAATTTTAAGTGAAGATAGTCCCTTTTCTGGAGGGTTTACATTTGTTGCTGATATTGTTGATGCTTCAGAACCTACTACATTTAAACAAGCTTCTCAGATTCCTCAATGGCAGGTTGCCATGCAGGAAGAATTTGACGCACTCCAAACTCAAGGTACTTGGGTTCTTGTCCTTTCTTCGTCTGAAAAAAATGTTATAGGCAGTAAGTGGGTCTATAAAATTAAAAGGAACTCTGATGGTACAATATCTAGATACAAGGCTAGGCTTGTTGCTCAAGGTTTTAGTCAACAGAAAGGTTTGGACTACAAAGAGACTTTTAGTCCAGTGGTTAGGCATACCACTGTGCGTTTGGTCTTAGCTTTAGCTGCAACACATAAATGGGAGCTTAGGCAGCTGGATGTCAAAAATGCATTCCTTCATGGTGATTTGCAAGAGGAGGTTTATATGACACAGCCTAGAGGTTTTGTGCATCCTGATTACCCTACACATGTTTGTAAGTTAGTCAAGTCTTTACATGGGCTTAAACAAGCCCCTAGGGCTTGGAATGATAAATTCACCAGTTACTTGCAAGCAGTGGGGTTTCAAGCATCACTCTCAGATTCCAGTTTGTTTGTGAAGCAGAGTCGTGATGATGTGGTCATTCTGTTGTTGTACAATGATGATATAATCATCACAGGATCTAGCTCTATCCTGGTTCAATCTGTGATAGACACTTTAGGTGCAGTCTTTGATCTCAAAGACATGGGAAAATTGGCCTATTTTTTGGGACTTCAAGTGGAATACAAGCCTAATGGTGATATTTTTGTTAACCAAGCCAAGTATGTCACGGATCTTATACATAAGGCTGGGATGGATGATTGCAAGCCTTGTGCAACACCTTGCAAACATTCATCAATTTCAGAAAAAAAAAATTTACAAACATCAAGAACTGCAAGACTGTACAGCTATATCGCACCAAATAACAGAGGAAAAGGGAACGAAATCACCATCAAACTTCAAGTGAGCAGCGGAAAATTAACCCAGCACCAAGAGCGAGCAAGCGATTCAAGCTCTGATACCATCTTAACCTTCATGAAAGGATTGTAGAATTGAAGAGCACGAAGAAACTTAGAGAAGAAGAAAGATATATTTCTGATATCTCAAAAACTGTTATTACAACTGAAAAACTTATCTAATACAAGTAACTATTACTCTATATATACAGTTCACCAACCAATGGTCTATGTCTTAAGCTGCTGCTTATGTGGCAATCTTTAATTGACCTAGCATACATTCAATACACCTGGCATATATATCCAATACAATACTTGCGTCCATCAGATTTTGATGAGAACATGATCTGGTACACCAAGTTGAATAAAACAATTGATTGGAAACTTAAAAAATATTTTTTTTCTCTCTCCTTTTTGTTACAGTGATCGTCATGGTTTGAAGTCTCGCCTCTTGCAGGTTTTTATTTTTATTTTTGTTGTCTAAAATTATTGGTAAATCTTTTTCTCATTAGTAATACTAATTAATTGGTTTTTTGGTATTATTATTCAGCTTGGTCATGATCTGGACGAAAACAAATTTGGCGAGGTGCTTAGACATTTCAAGGCATTGGCTGAGACAAAGAAGGTAACAACCAATTAGTTAGACCTTAATTCCATCATCAACTCCTAATGGTTGATTGGTTTTGCACATTACAGTGTCTTACGAACGAGGACATATAATCATTGGTTTGTCTGGAGGCCAAGAGAGAAACATCCTTTGTCCCCTACCTTATCTTCGACAATCCTTCATCGACTGGTTGTGGTTCTTTCACTCTCTCGAAGAGATCCTATTTGGTATAGTGATCGCTATCTTGCTCTGTAGACGACGAGAGCAACATTTGTTGGCATCTGTCAATGTTTGTTAGGTGGCTCATAGCAAGACTTCTTTGTTGAGGATGGTAAGATCACCAGAAGGTGATTGGTGCCTTCCTTGTGGTAACTTTACGATAGTTCTTTGGCTTGCAAGGTTTAGTCTTCATGAGTGTTATTTTTATCTTTCGTATTGGTTCAATGTGAGTTCTCTGTGACTAATGAATTGTATATTATTTACGATAAGTCTATAATTGTAGAATTGTAGTGTTTCTTTTAGCATGTGTGGCCTTTTCTTCCTAGTGCAAGAATTTCCCATGTGATTTTTTTCATCACAAGTACCCTTTTCCAGGACAAACTGTTGGGGCCAAAATTCATGATCATCTACAACGTTTACTAAACTAATGCATGTGAATCTAATCCCACAGAGCCATGAGATTTTAATTTTCTTATATTGCAACTTAAAAAGTTTTGAAATTATAATGATTTATGCATTTTTGTTTAATCAATTATTTTAATATTCATTAAATTGATGACTTGATGAGTATAAAACTTGTAATTGAGTTGACTTGTAAGCCACATTTGTAATACATTGACTCAATAGCTTATCAATTTAATGGAGGATTGATGTTCAAATAAACAAAATGTGTAAATTGATACAATCTCAAACGTCTTGGTACAACTTGAGAAAATTGAAACCTCATGGTCCATTTAAAAAAAAAAGGGTAGTGTTGTTCACACACCCCTTTTTACTTCTCACATACACTTATTAATTTTTACCCATTAATCTTTCATTCGATCTGTTGCCAGATTAAATGGAATATGTGAGAAGTAAAAATGGATGTCTGGTTAACACCACCCTTTAAAAATCACCTCAAACCTGTAAAATGCGGAGAGAAAAATGGTACTTCTTTTTCTTGGCAACTAACTTCCAACACAACTCTTGCTTTTTATTTCACAAATTCTGTAAGCACGGCATACTATATTACTGATTCATCAGAAACCCATTTTTTATACACATGCAAACCACCATGGATTCTCTCTCTCTCTCTCCCCACCCCAATTTTCTTTTTGGGTAAACAACCAGACTAATTTACATGAGCAATCTTACAGCAAGCACACATTGAAAGCATATGGACTTATTTACACACATGACAGGAATACCTTCGCTGGGTACCTTTAAATTACAATTTTGCACCATGTGCATTTCTCCGGCCCCATGAACCGGTTGCAGTCAATTCCCTTGCTGGAAAGTGCCTCAACCAATTTTGGAAATAGCTTAGAGAGCATGATTTTGAACCCGGTAGAGCTTCCCTTACTGTGTTTATCTTCAGTTTTCTGGAAATCAATAGCACACCCTACTGGAGCCCCGTCCATATACTCCTTACACGCCGTTAGAATATTTTGGGAGCGCCGAGTGAAGTGTTCGATAACAAGCTCCTCAAAATGCTGCATCAACATTACTAAGTTACCATGTATACCAAACAAACATATTGCACTACTAATTAAAACAGAAAGGAAAACCTAATGAGAATCCAGAATCAAGCACTGTACCTTAGGTGGCTTTTGGAGTGTATACAGCATGGACTTGCATGTCATCAGGAATGCATTTTCGTTGTAGCTTACGGAGTTTTTCTCTCCTTGGGTTCTTCCCATCTGTTGATCATACCCAGCTTCATTGAAATATGGCTTGTCGTTAAGCACGAGGGCTTGAAGGGAGAGAAGAACTTGAAGAATGGTGGAGCTCCCTGGATTCCAAACTTCAGTGCCTGTGCCCATCCATGTATTAAGGAGACTGAGACAGACCTTTCCGGACTCGTACAAGTTAGGGTTGACACGTAGCCCACCAGAACTATAGTGTACCATCTACATAAAATTTCAAGATTGACATGCATTAGCACTCACGATGATAAGCATCAATGTAAAATTTTAGAACTGCACAAACACATGCAAGTACTTACAGGCGGTTCATGAGGATACTCGGGTGGAAGATAAATATCAAAGAAGAAAAGCCCATCATGATATGGAGTTCCAGGTGCACCAACAATGGCTGATCGCAGTAGATCCATCCTTTCCTCGAAGGCGCGGACATAGATTTGTTCTGTTGATGGGTGAAGTTAAGTTAGTGTTGTTCTTCTAAAGATGTTCAAAAGCACTTTGCATAAGAATATCTCTTGTGTTACCAATGAAAACTATTACAAATTAAACTTTAAAAACAGATGAAGTGCTAACCAGGCAGATCTTTCTCGAAGATGCTCCACTCTTGTTGAACCTTTTTCATCCAGCCTCTTTTCACCTATTACGGAACCGAACAGATAAAAATCACGACTAACTCTGCTATACGAATATATGAAATGGTATGTTTATGGGAAATATTATCATGTTTCTAACCTGAGATAATGCCAACTCCTTGTTAGCACCATGAAAATGGTGGTCGGTGCAATCAGCAACTATGTCAAACTGCCTAAACTGATCAGCACTCTCATTAGCTTTTGAATGTGGAAAGCTCTTCTCCTCAAACCTCTCCAGCTCAGTCGTTGACTGTTGCTCAGCAAAGAGGTCACAAGTTTCCGCTATTCCTTTCTCATGGGAAATCTCAGATTGATTTCCAATTTCAGAAATACAGGCTGATGACGAAGGACCTGAAAGTGGTGCAGACTCATGGGATCCAAAAAGACTCGCAGCTATGCTTTTGAAAACTCCAATGGCAGCTTGAGGAAGGAAAGAGGAACTAGACTCCCTTGTGTAATCTTTGCCACCATCATCCAAATTCAATGAATCCTGAACATAAAAATGTCGTTTAGCTTGTTGCAAGGAAAATGCAGAAAATACAGGCTTCCTCCATGGAATTTCAGAGTTTATGGGAAGCAATAATGTCTAGTTTATTGAAAACCCAAAAAATCAAACATTCCATAAACTTCATATACACCTAATGTTTCAAAAACACTTGGCACCCAATGAATTGAAAACCGAAAAAAGAAAAAAGAGAGAGAGAGCTCTACCTTTCCCTTCTGGTTAGAAGGTTGCTTTGCATTTTGAATCATCTCTCGGTACAAGTCTTCGATGTCATCTTCTGTAGGAATTGCAGCTGAACCTTCATGTTTGTCAAACCGGAAAATTTCATTAGGGGCCACCTGTAACAATGACCAACAGAAAACTTAAACATGACATGACTATCAAAATTTAAGGGGAAACCAGAGTCAGCAGGAAATCATCTTACACACAGAATGATGAATAAACAAAAAACCAGTAAGGACGGCTTAATTTATACCTTGCCTGTAATACCAGTAGCCCATCTCACTTCCACAGCTCCATCCTTGAAGCCCATAACATTTCCAATGTGAGATAGGTAACATTTATCAGTGTAATCCTCTTGATCCCCACCGCAGTCCTTTTTTTCAGAAGCAGCTTCCTCGCTCATGTCAATCTTTGTGAGCAGATAGTTTTTATTCGCTTGTTCATCAAACTGATTCTGGACCAACCTGAACACATAATCTCCAAAAGAGTAGGAGTAATCTGGGTGCTCAACTAGTTCATAAGCGCTCACAATTTCCTCCATCTGTTTTCCCTCAGAGTAATTTTCTTTAGGTGCAGGGATAGTTTTCCATTGCACCTTTACTGTATGCTCGTTTGCATCCACACCCTTCACGACACCCCATTTTTGGCTGCTAGACATGTGTGGATCATCGCCAGTGCCCTTTTCCAGGACAAACTGTTCAGGCCAAAATTCATGATCATTTACAACGCTGACTGGAACTAGTGTCTGTGAATCTAATCCCAAAGAGTGGCTTCCATCTTGCCACGCCACGTCAACCTTGGTCCTTGTCTTTATGATGACAAAGATTTCTTCGAATTTTGAATCTGTGGTTCTTCTCCTAAATCCTCTTCCTGATATCTTGGGCTTGTTATTCATCTCACAAGTAGATGCATTATGAAAATCCTGCTCCATGACAGCTTTATCGTCAGCAACTTGAAGCATACACCAGTCACCAAGCTGCCAGTTTACATGAGAGAAACATGACAACACATTCAACTTTTTCGGATCCAGCACACGTGGAGGAGCAGGCAATTTCAAATCACAACCCATGAGAACAGAGGCAAGCCAATCAACATACACCAAACCTCCTTCCACAGAACAAACGGTTCCCTCGACTTGATTTTCCCTCCAGTTACTGCATAACCATCTAGTTGATTTGGAAGCGGTTGAGAGTCTGACCTGCACTTTCTGTCCTGGATAATATGGGTACTGTGGATCTTCAAGTAGGTTTGGAGAAATGGGCAAGAGCTTCTCTTGATCCACAGCAGTGACCTCATACTCTGTTCCATCATCAAATACAACCATAACATGGTCAACCACTCTATGCACCCTTCCAAGCCATGGACCACAAACAACATAATCCCCCACCGAAATGGAGCGGATCTTTGATAGGTTATTGGAGTTGACATCTTTTATTATGTGTCCCTTAACACTCTCCAAATCAACGAACATATTAATCCCAACTACTCTGCCCATCTGCCCAGATGGATCTCTTACGGAGCATACCATGTCTCCATATATGAATCCCCTCTCAAACGAGAGAAAATCATCAATTTTCCCAATGGAAGCCTCCAGGCTGGACAAGATGCTGCTCGCATGCCCGCCATAGAAAGATTCATTTTCATATTGATCCATACTACTACCACTCTCACTAAAACTCTCCCAATCCGAGTCACTGAGGATTGCATTCATCGTTCAGATGCCTATGGGAAGATAACCATACATCTCAGTTCGATGTCAAAAATATGAATAGAAGTATGTTTGCAAATCTATTTACGTTGATGCATGTATACATGTACATATAAAACATGATTACAAGATAACACAAAATAAATCCAAAATCAAATGAATGAAAAGAGTAAAGAGTCCGCGGTGCAGGATTTCTCACCTCAACTGCAAAATGGGAACAGATTAAATTACAAGCCGTCTGAGAAACTTGGTTAATCTTCACTGAACTGCAAAACAAAGGATCTTTTTAAAATCAATTGCCATAGAAAGCACACAAATCAGAACTAAGTACATTTTATTTCTGCAACTTAGGATTTATTTGAAGTCTAACACAAATTAGAAATATGTTGGAAACAAACAATAAATGTAAATAGATAGTACAGTAGTAATGTCGACTACATACCTTCTGGGGCAGAATGAATCTTAACACCGTGACAATCTGAGCTTATCTTGAACTCCGACAGGGATGTGTGTAGTCTCCAAAGGATGAAATGATGATTATTGCCACAACATCCTCTGTGATAAACAGATTTGCCGTACACTTTTCCAGTTGATATTTGATAGGGATATCTCCAGTAGGGTACTTTGACCACTAAAACTGGAGATCTAATGCCAAAGGAGATTTGCCCTATAGAGGGAGGGATAACAGGACGCTACGAGGACTCCAAATGCCAAAGGAGATTTGCCCTACAAGGGTAGCATGAGTCAACAAAGGACTCCGAGTACCAAAGAAGATTTGCCCGATCGGAGGGGTGAACTTTTGACTACAACCAATTACCCAGAAGAACTTCAAAAGGGAGATTTTCCCAACTGCAGAATTATCAATGGATTGCAACTGGCAGATGAGATCTTTCTCAGAGGTTGAGGTGAAGCTTGCCGAAATAGCGAGGAGAATGCCAAAGGAGATCGGCCCTAAAGAAACACTGGAGTTTGAGATAAATTGATGACAAGTCAACAAAAGAAGCACTCTTCTAATCCACTACGATAGGAAGTCAGCCAACGAAAGGGAACTTCAGTAACTTTTGCCAAAGGAGATCTGCTCAAGAGAGCTGAACTAGTTGATATAATATATATAGAGACATGCACACAGGAGATGTGCCCCAAAAGGAAGCCGAAGTTTCTGTCAGGAATTATCTACTGCCAAAGGAGGTTAGCCGAGCTGAACTAACCAATAGAATGCAGAAATGAGACCAACAAAGTTCAATCCACCTAACAGAAGTATGTCTTTACGCTTGGTTTACTGCAGTTCAGCCAAAGACTGCATCATCTCTCAGACAGGTAGAACAACCTTCACCGAGAAAGATCTTGAGAGCTTCTATAAACAGTATAAGATCTTGAGAGCTTCTATAAACAGTATGATACTTCAGCAACAACACTACCTTAATATCTGCAAAAACTCTAAGAAATATACAAAATAGCCACTTTTCAAGGCCAACAGTGATAAGAGCTTCTGTGAACCTGCAAGAGTCACCTTTCTTTTTTAGTGTGAAAGTTAGAGGGGAAAAGGTTCGAGAATACGAGTAGATGCAGAAAACAGAATATGTTACTTTTTACTAATCGCTTTAGTTCCCCGTGCGTGAAAGGATGCCTCAAATTGTTAAAGATTTAGCATCTTTGTGAAACAACCAAACCAAAGTACTTTAGTATCTTATGGAAATTTTGCATCTTTAGCATGTGCTCTTTTTCTGGATGCGTATTGTTACTATTTTGTTTTTTGCTATCTTCTGTAACCATTAACAAAACGGTTCTCTAGATATAGACCATTGCAACTTTTATTTCCTAAACAAAAACCCACCTAATTATAAACATCCAAACAAAACCTAAATTTTAAGTATAGAAGTAATTGACTTATTATTACAAAATATTTACAATTTGTGCCACATGACATTCAAAATAAAATCAATAAATGTTATTACTCCCCTTAATTACAATAAAAAAATATAATTATTGCACATATTATCACCCCTAACGCACACATATATACTTCAAATGTATATATTACTACCATAAGCTCAAATAACATATACCTATATTTAAATTTATGGTGAGCAAATAACATATATTCTGTAGGTAAATTAATATTGAATCAAATAACATTCTTTTATTTTGTAGGTAATTTATTTTCCATGTATTATTACATATATTTGGCACATTTTATTATTATAAGATATATGTACAAATAATAGGTAAATTAATCTTGAATAAAATACAATGCTTTATTTTGCAAGTACATTAATTTTGAATCAAATAACATTTTTTCATTGTGTAGGTATTTTATTTTGTATGTATCATCATATATATTGGGCACATTTTATTATTACATGTACAAATAATAGGTAAACTAGTATTGAATAAAATAATTGTGATAGCCCGTTCCGAAATAATTTACCGATAGCGTGGGAATGACGTTTTTGCCCTTACTCATTAGTGATTGTGTGTGTGTGTGATTGGGCTACGTTTTGGATCAATTGGGTTTCTTCCCACATATTTGGACCCAATGAGAGTTTGGCTTTGGCTTTGGTGATTGGTTAAAACATACACACACACATCCACACATGCACACGTGTACTCTTTTTTTCCTTTCCTGGTTATGTCTCTTTTATCCTTCTCGACACTTCTTCCATTTTCACCATATTTGTATGGACAACATCACACCTCACAATTTTGGCATGGATCGAGGTTCCAAATACCCTCTTCGTGTTCCTTGTGACCTAACCAACACGCTCATACCCTTGGTTTGGCTTGGAACCCTCGAAAACCCTATGAATCCGTGGACTCCGTCGATGGTACTATTCACATGCTCGTGATCGTGGAGGTTTTATCGAGTTTTAAGATCACAGGGAGTCTTAGAACTTTCTCACGAAGCTCGAAGAGCAAGTTTGAAGGATTTCGAACGTCGGGATAGCAAGTTCTAAAGTTCGGCAAGATTCCGGCATTTTTGGTGCTTCAAAGTGGTGAGGACTATCCTGAGGATGAGCGCAGCCATGCGAGGTTCGAGGGCTATGACCCTTCTACGTATTAGTGAGTGGGTTTTTGTTTTCAATATATATATTATGACTGGTATTTTTCCAAAAATTACGTTTTAATGGTTTTATAATTGAAATGCCATGTCGAATATCGTTGATATTATTATTGTGATTGTGTTGGTTATGCTTTGGTACCGCGGACGCTCAGGTAAGTCAGGTGAGTATGTTTGTTAGTGATAATTGTGATGATGATGAGATTGAGTTATAGCTCATATTCCTGCACCTCGGTGTTTGTGCTCCGCCAGAGTAGGGCCTAGCTTTCACGTGATCGTTCACCTCCTGCACCGTACACTCACCTTGGATCCAAGGCAGGTGTTAGCCTGTCGTACAGACCACTATAGGTGGTTCTGACTCGTAAGTGACTTGCGATACATCGCACAATCTTCACGTGATCGTAGCACTAAGCGTATTTATATACACCAGCCTGTCGTACAGACCACTATAGGTGGTTCCGACTCGTGTGCCGGATAGTGGTTGATGAGCTATAGATTCAACCGTACAGATCACTTTAGGTGACTCCGGCTGACGTATTGATATTACCGGCATATTATGATTTGTTTTATCTCACCTGCTTGATGCTTATACTGTTTGATTGGATATTTTAACATGGCATATTTTGGCATGGCATATTTGAGCTTTATCATTTTTTTTTGCATGATTTGATATATGAGTACGTATAGTATTTTCTGGGAAAGTATACGGGTTTTACAAAGAGGGGTTATTACTTGATATTGAAATGGTTTGAAAAACAAAAACTTTGTTTTTGCCCACTCACGTTTTCTGTTTTGCGCCCCTCCAGATTTTAGGTTGCGGTAATGTTGGTGGCGAACAAGGCATCGGGGCAGTTCTGACAGAGCACCCTCCATGTAGGATTTTCTGGTTATCGCTTATGTAGTACTTGTTTATTCTGGACTGCACCTAGGATACTTGAACTTCTACTTTGCGTTTTTTTTTCCTTCCGTTTTCATCACTATCATTCACTGATATTTTTATTGTAAATTATCTTGTTTGGCTTTATTTCCTCGTATTTTCACTCTAGTACTTCCGCACTGCGCACTTGGCTACGTCACCTTCACGTGACGGCCAGCACGCCCCAATATTTGGATCGGGGGTGTCAATAATAACATTTTTTTTATGTAGGTATATTAATTTGCATATATTTGGGTTTGCTTTATTATGTAGGTAAATTATTTTGCATGAATTTTTATGTATATCATGCATGTTTTTTTTGTTGTTATGTGTGTGTGTGAAATAATTTACCTACATTTATATGTAAAATATAATTTTATTGACTTAACTAAGCATGTATTACTACATTTATTAGGCATGTTTTATGGTTATTATATATTATGCAATGAATGTATTATTTTTTTATTTTGGTAAAATCATTAATTCTCCCTTATAATTTGTATGGAATTAATTGTGTAAATCAAACATTCAAATAGGGGTGTTTTGGGCATCGAAATTTTTTAAATGTGTAAATTCAAATATAATTAATGAATTTGCTGATGTGGAATCTAGTCAATGAGTTTTATTCCAGTAAAAAACTTATGTCGGGTTTTATGTGGAAAAAAATAAGTTTTAGAGACTAAAGTCATATTTTCAATTAACAAAAACCAGCAAACTTTAGAAACAATAATTGAGAGAGTAGCTGCTTGAGATTTGCATACCAATTGAGGATTTGAAAAAAGAGTTGGATTTTCAGTATCCAAAATACATTTGAGGAGAATTTTGGAAACACAAGCAGGTTAAGGCTGAAAAAAATGAGTGTGATACCAATATATTGTACTCATATAGGAATCACACTCCTACAGTGCACGGGAAAATTTAGAGTGTGATACTGCAATCAATATATTGAACTCACACTAGTGTAACAGTAGTGTTATAGGTATCAAGCAAGTTGTTTGATTCCTACATATAGGTATCACACTCAAATTACTGTGGAAGGCCTAAGGGAGAGTAAAAATTAAAACCAGAAAGAAGCTCTTACTCCAACTAAATCATTTGTGACAAGAATCAAACATCTTCCAACGTTTCATCGATAAACATCTTCCAACCAATAATTTCAAATTCTAGTACGAAATAAAAAGAGGATGCAAGCCATTTATAAATTATAGTAACTACCAAAAAAAAAAACCATACTTTCTATAAGTGGGACTTCAAATTGACATCCATACTATTTCTTCCAAACCTCACGTATCCACAATTCCACATGCAACCCAAAAAGTATTAAATTTCCAGAGGAACCCATTAATTTCTGTATACAACTGTTCACATATTAAATTCCTTCCATCCCATTAACCATTTCTTCCAAAAAAAATCACCAAAAGAAATCATGAAAAAAACTAAATTGGTACACTAATCACTTCAAGAACTTCCAACCCAGAAATTTTCAATACCCAATGAACTTAAAAGTCTAAAACTTTCTAAATATACCAAAAAAACAATCATATAATCAACAAAAACAAGTGTGTGCGGTGCACGTACCATTAGGAGCCTCTGAAAAGCAGGGGAAACCATGGCAAGAAAAAGTTACGAATACAGCCAGTAATACTGAGAAAACATCAGAAAGCCATCAAAAGCTGACAAGAGAAAGTCGACCCAGGACACAATCCCTCGGAAGAATATCAGCCGTCTCATTTTCCGTCACTTTCTAGCACTATCTTTCCCACGTTTTAGCTAGGAAGAGATGGGATTCCAGATACGGAGATGCTGCTGCTGCCCGGTTCGGACACATCCCTCGCGGCGTCGCCGAACCTCGAAACCATTGATGGGCACGGTGGATTGGCGCGCATGCAGAGACAGAGAGCTTTTTTTTCTTCTGAAATTTGGATTTTGGTGATGGCTCACTAATTTGGAGGTTGGAGTGCGGGTGGCAGCCAGTTGGATTATAAGACATACGGCGAAAGAATATACCAACAGTATCGGACACAAATAGTGTTGACAGTACAACTAACTCATGGAACCTTTTTCTATCAAATAACCATTTTGCCCTTTTTTATTTGCTAAGAATGATTAATGGAACAAAGCTTGGCTGTTGAAAGCCAATGTGGCTTCTCCTTTCTTTGACACATGTTTAATTCTTTTTTTTTTGTTTTTTTTTTTTGGTACAGAATTATCGAGCTTGAAAAGCTAATTGGACAGGTGTTTGGGCCAAAAATATTGTTGTGGACCGAGTTAGGAGTTGTTCTCGACTCAGCAGTATGTTTCTAGAACCATTGCGAATTCTAGTTATTATGGGTCGCTTGGGCTGAGTCCTAGCATGAGGCGGATTGATGGGGTAAGTCGAATCCTAGTATAACAAGGAGTCTCAATGGAATGAGGATGCTAAGATTCGAGAAGTGAATGTGGCCGGATAAAGAGGTTGGTTCGAAGTCCTAATGGAGGTAGGATTGACCGAGACTTAGTTAGATTAGGTTAAAGAATCCTAATCCGAGTGTAGTTTTGGTTCGGCCATGATGAGATTGGCTGCTATAAATAAGAAGGGGGTGCATCATTCTAAGCTCCTCCAATTCAACACACAAACTGGCCCGCGCAAACTCTTGCTTTACACGAAACCTCTCAACAACCTTGAGATTTTTATTTTCTTTTTCTACCAACACATCTTCAGTTTAGATAAACAACACTGTGAAGGCAACCAGTGACATCTTCAGTTTGGATAAACAGCATTGTTGCCGTAGAATCAGCCTACCCCGGAGCACCTTTAGTTTGGATAAACAGCACTGTGTCGAGGTCGACTGGTTATCTACCCAAGTCTCGGCCAAGAAGGACCTTCAAGTTCTTGTTGGCAGAGGTCGTCTCATTAGCCTTGTTGGCAGAGGTCGTCTCATTAGCCTTCTTGGCGAAGTGAGGTGTTACAGATTACTAAACTCGGCACATTGAATGCCGAGTTGTTTTATGATTAGATACTCACAAGTAAGTTTTAGAGTTCGGCATTCTAACGGCCGAACCACGTTTACCATTAAGATATACATCTCTTTTGAGTACTTGTGTCCATATAGTTTGGTACCAGTTCGGCGTGCTTATACTCTTACGAATATAATCACCGTAACCGAACTCGGCACCGACAATCCGTGAACTTCACAAGACTAGTAGCCTTGTCTTCAGGCTCTAGAACCCGAAGGTCGAGACGTGTTCCTTCCTCGGCCGCAGTTGCAAGATCAAGAAGTCAGTAACGCTCAATGCAACATCAACACATTTTACTCTTCGGCCGACGAGTTGGCACACCTTGCATCAACCGAATGACGTAATTAGCTTATTAATTACTCGGCATGCACGCCACGTAAGTTTGGTAGTTTTTAAGGTCAACAACAGGTGTCAAGTTAAGGAGCGACATTGGCTTTAAGCAGGAACTTATGGTAATTGTTCAGCAACCAAGCTTTGTTCTCATGTAAGCCCTACATTCATTGCAGACGAGGGTGCAGCCAGATTGGCTAGGCTCCCCCCATATGCCCAAGTTCAATCCCTCTACTTCTATAGTTTAGATTATAAATAAGTAGTGCGGTTCACATAATAGTTACAAACATTAGTTAAAACACTTAGAGAATTAAATTATAGAGAAAAATCCTTCTCTAAAATAAATTTTATTGTTGATTTTATAAAGGGAGATACACAAATGTAATAAACATCAGAAGTACTTTTAGATGATGCAAAGCACTTGTTTTTGGTTTATTTTTTAAGAGAATATAATATACTGTGGCAGCAGCCCATGTTTTTGGAATATTTTGTAGAGAAAAAAGAAGATGATATTCGATATATTAGGGCTAATAAGGGCTTGAAGAATGAAAAAAGGGGGTGAGAGTCGAACTTTTGTTGCATGATTAATATCAAGTGTGATGTTTTATTGTTTGCTGAGAAATGTGTAGTATCAAAATACCTCACGTGCATGCATCATGCATGGTACGTGTAACTGATTCACGATTGTTAATATTATACTCTAACGTAGTCGTTCACTCATAGCATATCACGTGAATTCGTCAATTCACGTAATAACCAAAGATGAAGCATTTAAGAAAGATGAGAGTACAAAACAAAAAGGCTACGAACATGGTTCGGTCCTCTTTTAGGCAAAGTCTCGAAAAGATGAGTAAACTTTTAATGCCTTGCCCTAACAGCACTTGAAATTAGACATTCAGAATGCTAAAAGAATATAGGCAATGGAAAATGACTAATTCCTAACTACCAGACCTTTACGTCCTCTACATAGATAACCACATATAATTTTTTATATATTTGCTTTCTCTGCTGCTACTTTCTCTAATCTTTTTGGGTGAATTATTTCAAACTGTCAAATCCTTCTTGTGCTTTTTGTTTTTTTGTTTTTTTTTTTTTTGTTTTTTATGGAGAAATTATAGTTGCATACTTGCATGGAATTTGTCTTTTGGTTGTTATGTATCTGCCCTAGATATTACTTCCGATTCATCCTGGTGTCCTCGGCGGCTCGTAAGGGACCATCCATGTTCTTTCGAGGTATAAAGATTTGCATTCATTGGTCCCTTTATCGTAGGTAACCATTTAAAGTATACATACACATACATACACACATACATGAACGCTCAAGCAATAATGGGTTAGTAAGTTAATATGACGTTAATAGCTTGTTGGATTAGCAAGTTAATATATATATACATACATACATGAATGCTCAAGCAATAATGGGTTAGTAAGTTAATATAACGTTAATAGCTCGTCGGGCCCACTTCATAACAAAATTTTATAATCCGAACTGATGTTTATTTTAAAGTGCAAAAAGTTAGTCAAATCAAACAAATTGACGACTTGAGTAATCTTTTGCAGTAATTGTTTTCAAATAATGGTCTTTAAAATCTCATATCATGATATTTTGTTGGAAAGTAGACCCAAACGAGCAATTATAAGCCCCATATTAACTTACTGACTAGTATATATATGAAAATAATTTTTGTACACTCTTAATTCTATCATTTAATTTTCATTTATTTTATTCAATCCAAAAATTCAAAATTTACAAGAGTTCATATTTTTTAGCAAAATGATGTGAAAAAATCCAGTTAGTACGTAATCATCTTATAATATAGACATATATGGTGGATCATCTGGAAATGCATTGATGGTTTTAATTTGTATGTTGCGCATCTCAAAGCTTTGATAGTTTAAAAACCCTAGTAGTATATGCGCAGGAAGTGTAGTAGTACCCCAAGAGATCAACAACTCTAAAGAGCTAACTTGTATAATAAGTTACACCGTCTCAGTAGCGTCTCAAGTAAATAATACAAAATTATATCATTACAAGTTTTTATTTTGCTAGCACAGATCGTCACCATAATGATGTACTTATGTCATACAAGTTCTTCTTATAGTACTTAAAGAAGAGGAGACGACGGACTATGATTTAGCTCAAATAATTCATTCTTAATATAAAATATATTGTTATAGCAAAACAATACAAGTTTACACGAGGAGAAGACGGATCTAGGAGACGATTTTAGTTTTCAAACCTTGATTATTCGAGGGTGATGGTTTTGGAATAAAGTTGGTCCAGCAGTACTGTATCTATACCGTTGAAGGTGCATACAACATAATTTCCATCTTTTAAATATTTTAAGCCTTCAGAGACAAAAGCGGTGGTGCAAGGATCACGTTCTTCCATTCACTGAATGTGCGTTTCATTATAAAAAAAAAATATATATATATATATATATATATATATAGGAAACACAAATAATAATCAAACTACATAAAATGAGCTGAAGTTTTATCATAAAATTAATTAATTATATAGGAGTAATTCAACTTCTTATAAGCTGTTATAAGATTGTTTCTTTCACCGATTTGAGATTCTTTTACTTTCACATTCTCACATACTCTACACGTGTGTCGAATTTTCAAACCACACATGTAGACAACACGAATTGAGTGACGTAAAGCACATGTAGGTGTTTAGCTTCACATGTGAGCAACCTTTCTCTGACCTTATAAAGAAGGTTAAAATTCATTGTAAAACTAATTGACCATATAGAGAGCAATTACGTATACTCATATTATGACACCATGCATGATTTCTTCATTTTGGTTATAGATATGCAAACACATACCCCCTCTATATATTATACCGTCCCCTAGCGCTACAATTGATATTATCCAAATCGAAACTCACAGCTCCACATGAACAAAGCAGTAGGACTTGCATAAAGCAACCTCTTGGGGGTCAACATGCAATTAGCAAGTATTTATCTAGTCTATAATCTGATGATATTCATCGTGAATTTTATATCTAATGGTGTTTAATCTTGAACATTTTGATTCGACTAACATGGATGAGAAGCGATCGAGGAGATAAATTAACTTAGTTTATCATGAACAGAAACTTGATATTATAATTAGTGGTCATTATTAGTCCAAGACAATCATTAAGAAATTAAAGTTTAGGAAATATATTAAGCTAATCATCGTCGGCTCTCGGATCATATTCTGTTATAGTACAAAGACAGAGAGAATTAATTAACTAATGACATGTGTACGTTAATTTAAGATGGTATTAGTGGAGATTTATTTGGAGAATCTCTTATGAATGAGATGAAGTGGGGAAACTATTAAAGTGACAAAGATTTCCATTAACATAATCATATTAAATTAAAAAGTGGGTTACAAAAGTGCTTTAGGGAAAATGGCCAACTCTGTATACAAATATAGTACGTAGTTGAAAGAGGATTTATAGGTGGCAAACAGAAAGTGATTAATCCACTTAAAAAAGCACTTTTATTCATGGAAGGGGGATATTCTCATATTACTGTATACCTCTTTAGCTGGTTCTTCTACCATCCGGACCAACAGCAATACAAAAGATTAGACTTCACAGAAAAATAAATCATAGAAGTAGATTTAGTTGGGACTCTCAGGATCTCACAGTCTGAGACTGAATAACTGCGTACCTTAGATCGTTCAAAAGTGAAATCTAGACCTTTGATTTTTGTAAGATGGGCCAGTTAGATTGATTAATGAAGCCAATGATACTTAAAATAAGTGGTCGAATTTACTTGGTTCATCAGCTTCGGACTCGAGATCAAAAAAGAATCTCAATGCGGGGTTAGTTACCCAAATGACCTATTACAAACAATCTCCAGCTGTCCCCCTTAGGCGCTATTGCTTCTTCCACTCCCTCTTACTGAACACGTTTACAATTGCTAAGTGCTTACTTAAAATTAGATCTCAATTATCAATTCGAATCATGGGTTATAAATTGAGATGTTCTCTCGTATAGATAAGATTTAAATTTAAGTAAACGTGCAAAATAATATGAGAAATTTCGTAGATGACAAATTATGAGTTACAATCTCATAAATTACGACAAATTATGAGATCATATTTCATTGATAACGACAGATCACAAGTTTACATCTCATAAACAGAAGGGAAAACCGGAAAAGCGAAAGAAAACCAAATTCTTACAGGCTACAAACTAATATGGTGGTGGGGATTAACGTAACTGGCATGCACAGGAATGCATTTCTTGAAATGAAAAGAATCGTGGGACCCTAGACAAAGAAGTGGTATAATGACCAAAAGTGAATAGGTTTCATCCTGATCAAGTTTTGGGTCAACGAAACAGATATGTATATGTTTATGTGTGTGTGTGTAAATGTGCGTGTGTTTTTGTGAGACTCGTCTTATAATGTATTTTAACGATTTGGTATGTGTATGTGTGTGTGTTTTTGTGAGACTTGCCCTATAATATATTTTAACGATCTGAACTGTCTGTTTTTTAGAACATGATTCATATATCATCATTGGAAAAAAATTAGAGAAATCTAAAACCATTAAGACATTCATTTGTAGTGAAGAAAATAGACGAATATGGTTCTACAAAGAAACCCTAAACACTTAACCCAATAATCATATGGTTTTAGATTTTGAGATTTTTGGTAGATATGATTTTTGAGGAAATACCTAAAAAATAAACGGTTTGAATCGTTGAAGTAAACCCTATAAAAACATCTGTAAAAAATTAGGTAAAGAAAGTAGTAGACAACATGTGCTGCAGTTTGCTTAGTCCATTTACACCATTATTCGCAACGAAATTTTACACCATTATTTGAGTAATGAGAAGGATTGGAGTCTCGGCCTTCTCTCTCCATCCATGGATTATATAAGCTTATGTAAAATGAATTTAAAGCCAATCCTTCCTCTTCAGATGTTGGTTTAACTACATTGGCTACAACGGATGAACTCACCCTATATACCTGAATTCAAATTCATTTCCCGCGGTCTAGATTAATTTAAAACAGAAATCAAAAGACAATCCTTTCCCAATTTGGTTGCCATATATTTAGCTTCAACATAGAAATATACAACAATTAGACTGAAGAATCTGATTACATCATAAGGTCACAACTGAAGAGATCGACAAAGTTTGAATTGATGTAACATAAAACCTATTAGGGTATGATATCCACATACCTCTTTTTTACTTCTCACACACCGCTTATTAATTTTTGTCATTCAATATTTTTCAATTTATTTAATCTGATGGTCGGAAATTAAAAATGTGTGAAAAGTAAAAAAATGATGTACATATCTATTAGTCCGAAAAGGTCCGAAAGTGCCACGTAGCTCGAAAATTAGTGGTCTAAGTTAGTTTAACCTTAGTGATTTTTTTATTTTTTTATTTATTTTTTATTTTAATGTTGGTGGATCATGGATGTACTAGTCCAAATTAGAAACCACTATCAAGGTTCGCAGGTTGACCAAAAACAAATCACACATTAACAAAAGTGAACGCTGCAAAAAGGTGTTAGCTTAGTGTTTCACATACTCTTCATTCAACTGAAAAAAGGATACAACTTCAATCTTAATTTCCACCAATAAAACTTACAACTTTCGATTCAATCTAAGTTTCGACCAACATCCATATATGACACGAGAACAAAACAGCGACATTCCGTACAAGGAATTGTGCAAGAAACGCTCTCGTGGTTCATGCACGAGTTGCATCATCGTTCACGTGTTACAAGAGTCAAGATCGAGCACAAAGGAAAGATTACTTAAGACCATGAGGAACAAAACTGATTCAATCAGCTCAGGGTTTTTCATACTTTGCACTTCTAAATACAGAATGGCAAAGATTTGTGACACAAATCCTGCAACAACTACCCCCGGGTTCGGTTCTAAATTTTCTATTTTGAATGACATCCAAAAATGTGCATGGAGGAACAGAGGAATCTGATCGTGCTCACCGTAAAAGCACAGCATTATGAACGGAGTGCCATTATTGCTAATGTTCAGCGATAGTGAACGTCTATCCTAAGCAGCGACTGCAACCTTTTCCGTTTTCTTTCCAGGTGCCTTTGAAGGCTTTTCAGTGACTACAGGCTCTGGTTTCTCAATCCCTTGAACATCAACTATCCTCAACTTAGTCAATTCCTGAAAAGAGACGCCAAGAAAAATGATAATCATTGTACTAAGACAAGAAATTGTGACTGTTCGGACAAAGGATTTCTGAAAATAACTACCTGGCGATGTCCTTTGGTTCGACGGTAATTCTTCCTCCTTTTTTTCTTAAATATAATTACCTTTGCATCTAATGCCTGAGATGAGAAAAAGGAACAATACAAATATAAACTCCAAATTTGAAGAGAAACAAAGTATATATATTGTAAAGTGCGAGTCAAATTCTTATCCCACTATTTTCGGCTATAAAGAATTTGGTGAAATTAACAATATGTGATATGCTACATTAGCGCATGGTATACAAGTTATGAAGCTTGATTACAACAATGACCTTTTTCTTCTTCCGCATTACAAGTTTAAGAAGCAGAGTTTCTAAAAAAAAATTTGAAAAGTTATAGTTTGCTTTCTAAACCCCTAAACCCTTTTTCTTTCAAAATTTAGTTTCTTTAGACAACATAGGTTTTTTCCCACCCTCAGCCTATGGGGAAAAACCTCTCAAGAAAAAGGAAATCTTCCATTGAAACCCAGGTCATACGCACCGACACTCACATACACAGAGTAAGAATAGAGAAACAATGCTGTGGTGTCACACTTACATGCTCCTCAACAACGGCATGAACTGCTGCGTCTGGTAATATGGGCCTACCGATTATTGTCTGACTGCTTGAACCCAGCATGAGAACCTTGTTCAATACTAACTGCAATAGACAACCATTCAAAAGAACAAACAATTGAGTTCATATATGAAATTAAAAGACTGCATCTACCAAAAATTTATGAAATAATACAAGACTTTGATCTTCAAAAAGGCCCTCATTTCGTATACTTAGCTAAGTTCTGAAATAGACATCCCGAGACCTATTACAAAACAACCCGGAAAGGATAGAATCAAAAGATAACAAAAACCAAATGTAAGTTTGCTAGTTTGACTTGCCCTCTTGAGGGCATGGATATAAATCGAACACCAATGGAAAAGAAATAACATCAAAATTTTAGTACTTCGAACTAAGGTAGCCCTCAATGCTGATCACAAAACCATCTTCCTAGTCTAGTATATTTACCAAAACCGGTGCAAAGTTTTCATCTTCCTAGTCTAAGATCTCACCAAAGTATTCATTTCCACTTGTAAGCCCATAACATACCAGATCAATTCATAAGTTCACACATGTCTACAACAAACAATGTCATCGTGACACCGAAATACACACCCACAACAATTTATCTGTACCGACCTTATCATTCACTTCGCAGAATTTCAATTTTTCGGTAAAAATGCAGTCCCCATTGCTAACCTTGAACTGATGTGAACCCACCTACAACACACAAAATCACGTTGATCAAAACCCACTTCTACAAATCCAACAGTCTCATTCAACGCCGAAAGATAATAATCCACTACACACGAACCTGAACGACGGCAAAAACCGGCTCATAGGGCTTGAAAACCCGATCAGACCTCTGAAGCGGCCCAATCACTTGGTACCCAATGGCGGCAGCCTCCACCTCTTTCTCCTCTGGAGTATACTCTCCTTTCGAACCGCTGCAGCGGTACGCACTCTCGTCCTCACTGTCCCCAACTCCTTCACTTTCATCGTCATCTTCATCTTCATCTTCATCATCGTCACTGTGCTCATTGTCTTCATTTACGTCGCCGATTCGGGGTTTCGAAGAGAAATGGCGGGTAAGCGAGCGAGTGGGATCGGGGTTGGAGAAAATGAGAGAGAAATTGGAGGTAAGGGTTTTGAGGGGTTGGTAGATGGGGAGGGGAGGTGGGGTTGGGAGGGAGTGGAATGAAGGGTTTTTGGAGAAGAGGGCGGAGGCGTGGCGGGTCAGAGCTTGGGGGGCCGTCGGGTCGCCATGAACGTCGTTATGCTGGCCTTGGTTTTTGAATTTTGGGCGTTTTTTATCTTGGCTTCGGCCTTTCGGGGCTAGGGTTTAAGCTTTCGTTTCAGTTTGGGGTTTTTGAGGTGGCCGATATTCAGGTTGGTCATTGGGGGTTTTGTTTGGAATTTGCGAATTGCTTCGAGGGATTTGGTAAGAGAATCCCTCAAGAGTGGGAGAGATTTTTCAGTCTGATCGTCACATGTCACTAAATAAATGATGGAGTATGTATACTAAAAAGTTAATAACCTAAAAAATAAAATTTCCCTCCATCGGTATTAAAACACGTGGTGTACCATTTGTATTCCCGTCACAATTGAAAATTTCTCCAAAAGCGGAAGATCCCCCGTCACCTCATATTTTTTTACATGATTTTTATTCTATCGTTATAACATATTGTGCTAAAAAAATAAAGTAACGAAAAATTCAAGAAGAGTATCATTTTGAGAGAGTTTCCTTAACATTTTTCATTGCTTTTATAAGGAGCAGTTTTATTAGAAGAGTTATTAAAAACGCATTAAAATTTGATTAAAATTTTTAATCTCTTTAACATTATTTTAGAAATCAATTATTTAGACCGAATTTTATAAGTTATGCTTTACCTAGCATTACTCATTTAAAAGCACATAATTGGTTCAAATGTGTCATCAGTCCTCTGTTACTCATTTTTAAATTCAGATCATCTCAGAATCTTGCAGTCCGAAACTGACATACACAGTTCGAGAGAGGGAGAGAGATACAATCACTTGTATTTTGTAAGGTGGGCCAAAAATGAACTAATAAGGATCGTAAAATTTAAAATGAGTAATCCGATATCTAAATTGTTCAATATGTCGGATTCGGATTGCGAAATGTGGAGAGGATCTCAAATTCTATTTTTAATGGCACACAATTGGTCCCTAATATTTGGGATTCGTCTACAGGCTTATTAAACGGACCGACAAAGTTCGATCAAATCCAGCTGTCGTTTTGGGCTTTTATTTGGGCCACCAGAAACACAAAAGTCCACAAATTCAAAGTTCATCGTCTCCTTCCAATCTAAGCAAAAAAAAATTCAAAGAAACTTCATCCTCTCCATTTCTTACAACCAAAGGAACCAGAAACCTCCACCAAGATCTCTCTCCGTCTCCGATCAAAAAATGGCCGGCCGGTTCGGCTTCTCCTCCTCTCCTCCAGGGGTGATGATGACCGTCACCAACACCCCCGCTGCAGAACTCGCTCTCACCAATCTCGCCTACTGCTCCCCCGCCGATCTCCAGAACTTCGCCATCCCCGGCACCAAGCTCAACCTAGCCTCCGTCGGCGAATCCTTCGTCCTCACCGTCTCATATCCTTTTGATCTTCACGATTTCTGATTATCTTTACAGTTTTCATACAATTTTTCCCTGCAATCCGTCAATACTCGATCACACCGTTTTTGTTCGATTTTTCTTTAATTTGATTATAATTAATTGTGAAATTGTTACAATTTTGTTCGAATTTTTGAAAATTAAATTGCTTGGAGTTGGTGTGAATTTTATATTGTGTTTTTGGTGGCCTTAATTGAAAGAAACTGGTCATCCAAGCATACAGAGCGGCCACATTGCGCTAAACGCAATCCAACGGCGGCATGCTAGGGTTTCTACTGGCGATTCAGTCTCCGTTAGCAGGTTAGTCAGGCCCTCAATCAATTAAAGGATCACTGGCTCGGAGCTGAGGTTTCGATCTTTTTTCAGGTTTCTAATTGTGTTTTTGAAATCCCTAATTTAGGTTTGTCCCGCCGGAGGATTTCAATCTGGCGCTGCTCACGCTGGATTTGGAGTTTGTGAAAAAGGGCACTAAGAGTGAACAGGTATTTGCATATTGATTTGAATTTTACTTTATTGTTTAGAAATACAAATGCCATTCAAAGCATTGGAATTCTGAAGAGCTTCCGCATTGTGTTGTAGGTTGATGCTGTTCGTCTGTCGGACCAACTTAAAAAAAGATTTATCAACCAGGTAACTTGTTCTTCATGCTTGTTATGGCTTTATTGTGGATCGTATGCATATGCTTATATGCACACCCACTGACCAAATAATGAAACCAATGTTGTTCTAATTTCTAACATGATCTTCTGAAGGCAGGTTACCGAATTGATTACGTATATTATTAAATGAAGATTGCTTATCGGTTGAATGCGTGTATGAATTTTAGTATTAAATTAAGGAAAGAATAAAACCAACTCATGCTAAATTGTTTTGGTTAGGCCGTAGTGGTCAAGTACTAATTCAATTAAAATAGATGCAAACTTCAGCTATATTTTGCTTGAAAAATCAGCTGTGTTCTTATTTCCTGATTTGTTTGTTTGATCCTCTCTCATTCAGTTCCTCCCCACCCCCCCCCCCCCCTCTCCCCCTTTCCTATCAGTATATATTACTTATACTGAAGGTCATGAGTTTTTGAAAGATTGGGCCTTATTATGTGCAGGTCATGACGGCTGGACAAAGAGTATCATTTGAGTTTCACGGGATTAACTACATTTTTACTGTCAATCGAGCAGCAGTAGAGGGACAAGAAAAGTCCAACAATGGTATTGAAAGAGGGATGATTGTCAATGATACATATTTCATCTTCGAGACATCAAATGCAAGTGGAATAAAGGTGAGATTTTGATATTAATCTTTACTTATTCCTATAAATTGTCAAATTATGTCAGACCAATTAGTTTTAACTGTTGGAAAGGACTGTTTGACATATTTTAGTATCACTGTCTAGGCAGGCTAAATAGATCCTTATTTTATGTTCAGAAAAAGTAACTTCATGTATTTGGTAATAGTTATCAACTTATCATTATAGGTTTTTCATGACCATGTGTTTACAATAGGAAAAAACAAAATCATATATTAAATTGGTTGACTCACGTCATACTTGGTCGAGAAGGTCTTGCAATGACGAATGAGTTTTGTGCTTGTACCTTTGATCACTTTTTTTAGCCGCATATATCAGAGTCACAATATGATGGCCATTTTCAGGAGAACATTTTAAATAGTAAATATTGAAATTTGATATTCTAAATTGTATTCTCCAGATCGTAAATCAGCGTGAAGCTGCAAGTAGCAACATTTTCAGGCACAAGGAGTTTAATCTTGAAACACTTGGAATTGGTGGCTTAAGTGCTGAGTTTGCAGATATATTTCGAAGAGCTTTTGCATCCCGTGTATTCCCTCCTCACGTGACAAATAAGTAAGATAACTAATTCTTCAAACTGCACTGATATCTTTTTGGTATATCTACCGCGCTCCTTAATGGAAGGACTTTGATGTTCCAGATTAGGGATCAAGCATGTAAAGGGTATGCTGCTTTATGGGCCACCTGGCACTGGAAAAACTCTCATGGCTCGTCAAATTGGAAAGATGTTGAACGGGAAAGAACCAAAGGTTTGGAGCTTGATACACCTTTTTTTCAATAATCAAATTTCTGAGAGTTGTCAATTGACTCAATTCTCTTAGGACTAAGAATTTGTTCTGTTCATTGGTCTGGACAGTTGAGAATTTATGAATGTTTGAATGATTACTTTTCTAAGTTTCAGCTGTAATTTCAAATAAATATTACCAATTGATGACATGTGAAAGTTGAAACTGAGACGAAATTAAGAACTAGGTACTTATTGTAACAATCGTGTATTCTCATTTTTCATAACAGGCTTAGGTAATGAATCGATTAAGTTCTGCCAGCTGTAAACATTTAACCATGCCGAATCATGATTTAACACATTATTTTGATGCTAGCACATTATTTTAAAGTTCCAAAGCTGTTTGAGCATGTCTGAATGATTTTGGATATGCAACTTATCCTTATATAGGTTAGTTATTAATATTACTGCAGGGTAATTGATGATATTTATATTTTTGTGAACTGTGCTAGATTGTTAATGGCCCTGAAGTTTTGAGCAAGTTCGTTGGTGAAACTGAGAAAAATGTTAGGGATCTATTTGCTGATGCCGAGAATGATCAAAGGGCACGCGGTAAGGGATGTGCGTGTGTGTGTGTGTGTGTGTGTGTGTGTGTCAAGTGCACTTAGGTTGGTTTTTCAATAATTTCTAATGTCATTATGTCCTTAATTCCCCAGGAGACCAGAGTGATTTGCATGTGATAATCTTTGATGAAATTGATGCTATTTGTAAGGTATAATGATTTCTTACTATATGCTATTTACTAAGATTCCTTGTTCACCTACTTTTGTTTCTTCTGTATTGTATAACCTCCAAATCCTTCATTATCACAGTTGCATAGCTTCAGTTGGATCAAAAGGTTTCATACTTTATGCTATTTACAATAACGCATGCTTTATTCTGCAATACAGTCAAGAGGATCAACTAGAGATGGTACCGGGGTTCATGACAGTATTGTGAACCAGTTACTCACGAAGGTTAGTGAAATTTACAATTGTGATTATTAAGTCGTGCAAAAACTAACAAACTTTTCTAGGCCAGTATTGTATTTGTGTTCCTAAGCGATCTCATCAATATGTCTGAAACTGCTTGTTTTTCAGATTGATGGCGTGGAGTCTCTCAATAATGTTTTGCTTATTGGGATGACTAACAGAAAGGATTTGCTTGATGAAGCCCTTTTGAGGTGCTCCTCTCTCTAAACCCTTTTCACAACATGTTTAGTAAACATCTAATTTTTGTCTTTTTCTTGTTTGTAGGCCAGGACGTCTGGAAGTTCAAATTGAGATAAGCCTTCCTGATGAAAATGGTCGTGTACAGATTCTTCATATTCATACAAACAAGATGAAGGAGAGCTCTTTTCTTTCCCCGGATGTAAACCTCCAAGAGCTTGGTATGTGCATAACTGACATGGTTGCCAGATCCTTATTAATCTGTTACTTGGATGTAGTCTTGGCATATGCATAAGATTACATCACTACATATAAAAAGTTTCCTACTCTTTCACCTTTTATTCAATTCCTCTGTTTCTTAAAAGTTGTAACATCAGTAAGACTTTTTTACTTAGGCTGAGTAGGGGTATAATGTTTTGAAAAATCAATGACCTTGAGATTGGAATCTTCTTTGATAGTTTAATGTTCCAAATTGTTAATGCATGAAACTTTAAGAATCCTGACAATAATTTGAACCATACCTACGTA